AATCCTTGAGATATGAATCAATAGGATATGATCGATAGGGCACAAAGCCCTCTGTTAGCTAAGTTGGATTCAAATTTGTCCCCCTAGGCAAACATTCACCCTAGGTTTACAAGGTACCCTTGGACGTAGCAACCCATGACTGCCGACAAGGATCCTTCTGTCAGGTTGGGTCGACTACCTCCTCTGACTAAGTAGACCAGGGACCACGATGGCCCGGGATGACGGAACCATGGGATCTTGATCAGGTCCATCATCCATTCCCCCACCATCCACTTTAAGTGCAAAATGGTGAATTTTTTACTTTAAATATCAAACTTCTCAAATACCTATACCCAATTTCCAAATTCAAATCCATGCTGTTACTATATGCCAGATACTACGTATCTCTATGTATCTGATTGACGACTAGCCTTAATTGAAAGTTCTCTCTCGTTATCGGGAGGGGTAAGTAACTATAGGGGCTTGCGCCTATAGGAAACCATAACTCAGATCATAAAGTCCTCACAAAAATGAGGGCGAAATCTCTGGGTAGTGTCTTATCTACAAACCCATCTGCCTTCCCAAAATTTACCCCGAAACTTATCCGTTGAAACTCCCTCGCCGAAAAAAGCAACAGTCGGGCGGAGGCTGGGGCCGAATTTTCGGAGCCCACATGATTTTTAGATTTGGATATTGGCACATTTATGAGAGGACATGCAAATATTCAATTTGACAATTTGATATTTTTTTAGAGGACGTGTATGCCTTTCAGCGCGTTTATAGAATTTGCTAGACGTTGTATTTGAGCTAAAAATAACTTATGACATTTGTAAGAGACTTGAAAAATTTCTAATAAATACTTGTCTTTAAAATGCATGCTAAATTTTCATGTTGAGGCTTATAAATTGCATTTTGTTTGCTTGTAGGTGCATTTTGTAGATTTGGTTGGGAATGTTTTGAGTTAGATTTTTGTTATGCATTTGATGATGTCTTAGTTTTTGTCCTTACATCATTGTTGAACACACACACACACACACATATATATATATATATATATATATATATTTATTTATATATATAGGGTGAGGCTTAGGCCACACACTAATGAGGCGAGGCACACCTCAAGGTGGGTATCAACCAAGCTGACGCGTAAGCTTCACAAAAAAACCTCGAGACGTTAAGTTTCAAGGATTTTTTCAATGGAATTGCGTTGACGAGAGTCTTATATTGTGCAATTTTAAACAATGCAATCAAATGAAGATGAGCACCTCTTTGCCAATAAAGGAGGAGCAAGCAAAACTCAACAAGGAAGGAAACCATCATTTTCATGCAAGTTTGATAATTTTATTCCTATTATGCTTAGCAAATAGCATGCTCCCTTGTGCCTGTTAGATTCTCAAGCACTCACACATCAATTCACCATGAGCATCTAAATTGGGGTGGTTGAACTATAAACCACCCTGCTGTAATGGGTAAACTTTAACCTTCCAATATAGTGACTATTTCTTTTGGATAATCACTTGATTAACTCAACCTTTGCCTTGTGTAGATAGGTTTTTTTCACACTCTTTGCTCAAACCTTCTCTACCGATTTACCCTGTATAGAATGACTAATGACTCTCAATTCCAAGCACTATCCTCTTGATTCTTAGCTCTTCTCTGGTAATTGGCCATCTCCTTATGCAATTTGCTCGTGATTCTTTGCTCTTCTTTTGGTGATTGGCCATCTCATTTGAACACCTTGTTTCTTTTGGTCCACTCCTTTCATGTTTGAGTCATCTTCTGCTCGTTCTCGATCATGGAAACTCTTTCCAATATCATCTGATAGGTTGCCAAGTGTATTGACATCAAAATAACTGTCAAATACTATCAGTAGTACATAATGAGTCATTTCTGTCTACTTCGATTTGTACTTTTCCATCATTATGTCTTGTTACACAAGCAGAATCAATTTAAGCTGCATCTAATATTTTGATGTCAATGTTTTGTACTTTGTTCAAAAATCCTCCATGAATTGTCTAATGTGATTGTGCAATTGGGTCAGTTTTCTAAATGAATGCACCTCTGGCCCATCTAGTAGTGCTCCACATCTTTTATCAATATGAAATTCGTCAAGGCATCTTCCATTTGATAGAACATTCCATTCCCTTAAATGTTTTTTTCTGCTTATGCTAGCCAACCTTCCTCCGAAGAATTGATCATACCTACTAATTGCAACGCTAGCCAGCCTTCCTCCTAAGAATTGATCATACCTACTAATTGCAACGGCTTCAACCTGTGGAAGCATTTCAACCACGATTTCCTTGTTTCATTGGGTTAATTTGGTTTTATAGCCCTCCGATAGCATGCAAAATGTTGTAAATGCTTGCACCATGAATTTCGGTGCTACCCCTCCAAGCTATGCCATAGTGGCCATCCAAGATGTTGTCAGTATTTGAATATGGCTCTTTGTAGCATCCTCTAGTTATTCTAGGCGTATTCATCTGATGTTGTTACCCTTTTAGCACTTGGGATAGTAATGTTGCTCCATCATTTCCTTAATACCAATCCCATGGTATTCATGTATGTGCATGACAAGTTAACTACTTACATCTTGCTTTATTCTCCCTATCCGAACAATCATTTAAGATCTACTATCTTAGCTCTAATACCAATTTTATCACGACCCTAAAGCTTATCTCAGGCTTCCTCAAGCCAAAAGGGTGACATCAAGGAATAAGGAGAGGTTTTTAGTTCAACACTGCCTTTTTTATGATCAGATTAGATAAGATGGACCATTCTTTTAACCAAGACACTATAAGGCATCTCTTGAGCACGATCTAGTCAACCAAAGATGCTATTTGAAAAATATAATCAATCTCAATACAACACAAGGCATCTATTACTTAAGGCCACTAAGGCTGATGAAAATTTTACATTTAAGAGGAATTACATCATAGTTGTATTAAGTGAACTTGCTATGTTGAGCTACTTTAGAAAAGAAAAAGTGACATATATTATCCATGTTATCGAAGTTATTTATGTACATACATCCAGATTCATCATTCTTAAGGGTAATAAGAGCTAGTAGACAAAATTTAAGGTTTTGTTTAGCAAGCCATGTGTGATGGGTCTAGAATTGTGTTAAATAATAATATTGACCGATGCTTTGATGTATGTGCAATATATTTAGAAGATTCAATGGAATATAAATATTCCATGGCAAGTAATTATGAGTTTAATGAAGATGCTATGTCCATGAAGAGAAGCATGAAGGTTTTATTAAAAAATGATGATTATGATTGACCAAAATGCTTAAAGTGCAAAGTACATAAATAAAAGAAGAGTTTTCTAGTTCTTAAATCTTTACCATAAAAAATCAATTTTGATTCATCTGTACTAAAATATGCTAATTATATTCATTTTATATGGTATAAAAAATTTGTACAACAATAACAAGCCTTTATCCCACTTCGTGGCGTCGACAACATGAGTTTTTTTTTCTCCATTGTGTTCTGTTAAAAGTCAAATTCTCATTCAAATCTAAGAGGTTATGAAAAACATTTATAATAATAATAACATTGGCGGTAGATGTGGCATATTTTTTAAGATACATCAAAAGCCATACATATTGACCAATGTGTTGATCTTTGGAGCTCATCATTTAAAATGATTGTAGGTGGTCTTAAGCACACAAGTCTGGTAGGGTGGTTGGAGTACCACACCTTTTAAAGGAGAAGGCCTGAGGAGCTTAAGGAGCTGGTAGTTGTAAACTCTTCTGCTGTAGCATTCGGAGAACAGAGGACTTGGGCAAATTGAGGGCCATAGATAAGAGGAGTAATCACTTGCTCCTTGAAATTTAGTGGAATTTGATTGTTTGTTTTCAGATTTTAGGAGATCACCTTTGCGAGACTTTCTTGTGTCTAAATTTGTTTTAGGTGTCGTCCACCAATAATCCCCCTAAATCACAATGTGGGGAACGAAGATGAACCTTTAGCATTTGACATGCGGCAACATTACCTTGGTTCCTACGGAATAGCAAGCATGATAACTACTCCTTGTGCTACATCAATAATATCGAAGTACAGCAGAAGCCATTTACAAAGAGAATCCATGGCTTACATGACCTAAGGGCTTCATTGTGTGGTGAAGCCAACAACCTCTATAAATATCTATTCAGAGTTGAAACAAGGGTTTTTTTTTTTGCCACCAAGGAACCCTAACCACTATAGAGAACTATGAGAAATAACCCAACACTAAGCCAATAGCTCTTAGTGTAATTGTTCTATTGAGTGAAATATAAGAAGAAACACAAGCATCTCATCTAAGTTTATTGTTCTCTCTCTCTCTCTCTCTCTCTCTCTCTCTCTCTCTCTCTCTCTCTCTCTCACACACACACACACACACACACACACACACACACCACACACATAAATTTTGTTCACCTCAATCTCCACCTTTTGAAGTAGCTCAATAGCCTAACTCTGTCTACTAACATTGAAACATGATGTCATCAATAATCACCACACCTTTTTCTCTTTATTTTGTGTGATACTAGAGTGGTTAATTCGCATCTCTGCTTCATTGCATGATATGGATGCGGAAGTGGAGGATGAGGAAAAGCCTTGAAGTAAAGCTTAAGATAGATGTTAACTGTTAAGAAAAATTCTAATTTTTCCTTTTTCATGTTTTGTAAAAGCTAATTTTGTCCCAGTATACCTGATCAATGTTGGCTTATTTTGCTTAAGACTAATATTACATATGCCTTTCTTCTATCATCTTCTTTACACTTGAGATGTGGATGATTACTAATGAATGCTGACTAATTTGGAACTGACAATAATGTCACCATTTTTTCCTCAATAAACTCGAATTGTTTAAAACATTTTGGAGTTCCATTGGTAGATTCTTGATCTCTTTCTTCTTTTCTTATTATGTTGGAAGTTACTCGTATCCTATAGGTACTAAAAGTATGTCAAGCATTTGTTCGCTCTCATTAATGAGGGTTTCATTGTGAATTTGGCTAAATTATATTTTTACAGGTCCTGATGATATGCCAGCACATATTAAATCGTCAATGTTTGGCTGTGCCCTCACGTATGTAGATCTTAGTGTTCTTTGTAAACTTTTAGTTGTTCTGTGCTATTTGCTTCCTAAGACTGTTCACTTTTCAGGGTTCCTATTACTGATGGACGTCTTAATCTGGGAACCTGGCAGGTAAAGTCAAAGCTCAGATTCAGCATCATATTTGTAGACAAATTCTGACTTACACCAATTTTCGTAGAATTTAAAACAGTAGCTCTGAAAATGCTGAAATTTGATAAATGAGTTGTTATGATCACAAAGAATTGCTGGCAGATGTTAATACAAATATGATTGCATTTTTTTACCTATTGAATTTTTAATCTTATTAAGAATGCTGCTAAGAGAGGCAAGTGTGAACCTCTTAAGTTGAACCATGCTTGATGTTGAATAAACTAGCTGTTTGCACTGAATATCAATATAAAAGTTATGAAGAGTCCAAAGGTACAACCCTTTGAACCATGTGATGATTCATCCACAGAGGCGGAGCATGCAGGCAGCTGTAAATTGGATTCTTAGGACTACAGAAGGTTCAACATTTTTGTAATTTTCATCTTTAGGAATGGAATTTACGTGTTCTTCAGAAAAAAATAAAAAAATAAAATGCAGAGTTGCAATTGTTGATGATTTCTTGTTTAGGCCACGTGATTAGTAATAAAAAAGCACAAGGAATATAAAATTGTTAATGCAAGTGAAGATTTTTTTTAGAGAGTTTAATAAGGCTAGATGTATTAGGGGTGAAGTGATGTAAAACTAGATGTGTAAGTGATGTTGAGTTGGAAATTACACATGCGTGAATAGAGATTGACAATTAATTAACTCCCAATGAACTTAAATAAGGACTTTAGCTTGCAAGGGGGTGATCGAGTTTAAACAAGTAATCGCATGATAATAGGAGGACCATTATATAATCAAATAAATTAATATCATGCTCATGTTAAGTTTCAGAGACAAACCCTAAATTAACAAATAGACTTGTCACTACAAAGACCCACTCACACATACTCTTGGTATGGGCTATGCGGATAAGTTTTCATAATAAAATGATGTCATGATCGAGGAGCGATCAAAAGGTACAAGGGGAGGGAAAGAGTTTACCTGCATAGACGAAGATACTAAGCCGCGGCGAAGTCGTTTGGATGTCTAGGTGGGAAGGATAGCAATACGAATCCCTTTCACACATTTGGACATGTTCTATCGTCCCCTGGAAATTTGGACAGCATCTTATGATGATGTGGGAAGGAGATAACAAGCGCTTTATAGTAGGAAAATAGCCACAATCATCATTGGATGGCAACCGAAACATGAGGACAACAATTAGCAGAAATATGGACCTAAGATTTATGTCCAAATAATTTGTATAATTATGGTAAAGATCAATGAGGAAGGGGGGGACAGCCCAATCAAATATTGGGGCTGATTTGGAGCCTTAATTGGGTTGCCAATTAAAGCATATTGTTAAAGGAAAGAGGAATTAATTCAAATGTTCAATCAATACTCAGATTTGATGATGGAGATATCCTTCTAAATATAGCCCAACACTTTAGGAAATGAATTTAATGCTTTAGGAGAATTCAAATTTGAATTCAGATATCCATAAATTAGGCTAGATTAGTTTCGGAAGGAAAATCAATAAGGATTCTTCACTTAAATTTCAGATTTATTGATGGGGATACCTTTCCAAAAATAATCCAACAATTTTTGGAAAGAAATTCAAGGTTTTAGGAGAATTCAAATTTGAATTCATATTTCCATAAATTAGGCTAGGCTAATTTAATTAGGTAGGAGAATCAATGAGGATTTCTCACTTGAATTTCAGATTTATTGATAGGGATACCTTTCCAAAAATAATCCAACAATTTAAAAAAGAAATTCAAGGTTTTAGGAGAATTCAAATTTGAATTCAGATTTCCCTAGAGTAGGCTAGGCTATTTAGGATGGAGAATTAATGAGAATTTTTCACTTAAATTTCAAATTTATTGATTGGGATGCCTTTCCAAAAATAATCCACCAATTTATGAATAGGAAATCAAGGCTTTAGGAGAATTCAAATTTGAATTCAGATTTTCTAAAATTAGCACTAGTTTAATTTGCTTTAAGAGAATTCAAATTTGAATTCAGATATCTATAAATTAGGCTAGATTAATTTAGGAAGGAGAATCAATAAGGATTCTTCACTTAAATTTCAGATTTATTGATGGGGATACCTTTCCAAAAATAATCCAACAATTTAGGAAAGAAATTCAAGGTTTTAGGAGAATTCAAAATTGAATTCAAATTTCCATAAATTAGGCTAGGCTAATTTAGGTAGGAGAATCAAAGAGGAGTGGTCGGTTGGAGCTTTTGGAGGAGTGGTCGGTTGGAGCTTTCGGAGGACATGGTGACAGGGCGAGCTTGATGGTGGATGGAGGCGGAGATAAACTGTGAGTTTGGACGCTTCCTGCGGCTGACGGGTCTTGCGTTGCCCTCACCTAGGGACTTCACATAAACTCTCACAAGAACTCTCAAAGCTCTCAAAACACATCAAGACACAAAGTGCATAAATTTCATTCATAATAATCATCATCCCTCCCAAGGTGGAGGTGAGGCCTATAAATAGACAAATACAATAAAACATCAAATGACAAAAATGCCCTCTGTGTTCACATAATCCGACTCCCTCAAGTGAGTGTAAAAATGAAAAATTACACATAATAAATCAAATACAAATAAATGCTCAGAAATAGAGTAATTTGATTGTAACCGTAGATCTCCGGCCCTTTGATAAATTTTCCACGGCCAGATGTCATCATCATGAAGATAATAAGGTTTTGATTAAAGATTTAGAAAAGATGTTGGCTGATGGCCTTGGGCGAGGTAAAAAGGATTTCTAGCAGTTTGAATAAATAACATTACCAAGGTGGTTGCGTTGGTAACCTCCGCACTGATGGAGAGTGCAGTTTCATTTGAAAGATATGTATGTGTTGAAATTGGCATGGGATAACCAAATTTTTTAGCAATGTGGAGGCCAGGAGGGATAAATAGTTGGTCTTTAATAGTAATTTTGCGGTTCTGAAAGAGCCAATTATTCTGAACCCACAAATCAATTTAGGTTGATTTAAGTTTCACGACTCATTGACAGATATACTACTTTTGGTCGTTCTGCATTGTCTAGCTTCTCATAATTTTGTTTCTCTAAATTTAAGGAATGTCATAAATGACTGACAGAAAAGCTTTGCTCTTGGGTAGCTTTTTCCTGGCAAAATTCTTCCACCATGGCTTATCAATTAATGTAGGCAAAAGTTCGTTTTTTACTCTTAATGGGCATTTAATAGTGGGCTGTTTTCTTCTAATGGGCTTGGCCAATTTGCCTTGGGCTGCTTGGTGTTTGGAAGTTCACAGCCATTGGTTTTTTGGCTGGTCATGCCTCTCCTTGGTGGTTGTTTGGCTGCTTGTGCTTTCGTTCTTGGGCCTGTAGTGCCTTTTTTTCCTTGGTTTCTGTTGGGTTTCTTGGCTGTTTCGATTTTGGCTGGCTATTGGGCTGCTTGTCTGTTCGATTCTTGGGCTGGCCGTGCCTTTTTCCTGGATTTTTTCCTCTGTTTTGGTTGGCTGATTTGGGCGGCTGCTTTAAGTGTTTGTTGGTTGTTGACGAATATTTTCGCATCGACTCGACCCCGATCGAGCTCGACAAAGTTCGATCGCGCTTGATCAACTCAATTGATCATCATCGAGGTGAAATTAATCCGAATTTTAGCCTCAATTAAATTAAATTAAATTAAATTTAATTTAATTAAAATCAAATCAAAATAAGTCAAACCCCGTCGAGCGTCGCCGAGCTCAATTCGACACAGTTCGACACAATTCGGCGCCGATTCGAGCTCAATTTCACAAAATTGACTCGATCGGACCCAAATCGACCCAAGTCGGGTTCAATCCGAACTCAATTTCAGCCTTATTTTTTTATTTAGGTTGAATTTGACTTCCAAAACATCTCTTCGAGATCTAGGGCTGAGATTGAGCTCCAAATCCCACCCAATTTCAAATCAATTGAGCAGCAAATCTACTCAAGTGGATTTGTTCTCGTTTCTCGCAACGAGGCGGATAGATGGGACGAAACGAGAGTCTCGTTCGACTGGGCTGGCGTCCCTAAGTAAACGAAAAGAGTGGGGAGCCTCATTCGGCTCCCCGTGGCTTTCCTTCTTCCGTTCCGACACACACAGAGCGAGAGAGCGAGAGAAGGAGAGAGGCGGAAAACCCCTCCCCGTGCGCGACTCAACCCGGCGAAACCGAGGAGTCCCGCGTGCGGCTCCTTCGTGCGTTTCCACCGTGTCCCGCCGCCCTTCTTCCAGCGAGCCAGAACCCTTGCTTGTGGCTTTCCTAGTGGAAGGGAGAAGAGAAGCTTAGGGTTTTGAGATCTTTTCTCATTCCAAAGAAGGTTAAGACAGCCATTCACTTCCTTTCTCAAAGATCAACGAAGTTAGTGGCTTTTTCTTCCTTTCTCCTTCAACTCCGGTGACTTCAAGACAAGTTGGGAGCGGTTTGAAGCTTCCAAACAGCAAAAGAGAGCTTCAAATCCTTCCAAACAGCAGTTTGGAGCCTTCAAATCGCTTTGGACAGCAGCGGCGAGTTCTTCCATTTACCTTCTCATTTTTACGTGATTGTTTCTATTCTTTCTTGGCACAGTTATGCTAATGCTGCTTCACAAATCCAATATTATTTTTTTCTTCACCACTCAACTTTAGATATCCAGAGAAGTGGCCAGTCTTAATAATATTGAATTTTTTACATATCAGACAATGAAAAATTACTCATTGGATCTTTTTTTTTTTGAATCATCTTGAATAAGCTTCACTAATCATATGTCATTTATTCGTCTTAACTTCCAGTTGCAGCATGGCTCTTGATTAGTGTTTTCTCTGGATTAAATTGCTGATTTTGGATATAAATCCATGATGACTTAGCTATTGGGATAAAGGAAAAAATTTGTAGACAACTTTGTTTTATTGCCTTAATTTTAGTCAGTTGATTTAATGGGAGTTTATGTACAGCTTATTTTCTTGGAATTGATGTTGTTCCGTTCTTTGAGAATTGTGGTGCTTAGAAAAATTGAATGGGAAGCTAAAGTGGAAGAAATGGATGAAGCTGTTAATGACGAGGAAGATGACCTCTTTTTTATTTTTATTTTTCTTATTTTGAGATAGTTGATGACTTTGATTGTTCTTACAAGACATTTGCAAGAGGATGTACCTTGGTGTATGCTTTTTGTTGATGATATTCTTCTTGTTGACACGACTAGAGAGGGAATTAATGAAAAACTTGAATTATGGGAGGTCAACCTTAGAGTCTAAAGTTT